TGATTAGAGAAAATTATATATGTAAGAAGATATGGAAATCAATCATTGGTACAAAATAGGATGCAGGAGAAAAAATACGTATGGTATTCTAAGCAAAGCTTAACTGATCACTTCTTGACAAGCATTGGCACCATTCATGACTTAAGTACATGATTTTGCCCCACTGAGACAGAATATATTCTTCTCTGAGCATATAATTTACAGATTATGTTCTGAATTAAGTCATTTGCCTTTATCCAGTCCTGCACAACCCTTCCTATTCTCCACAATTTCAATTTCAATCACCTTGATTGAGTAAATATTTATTAAGCATCTCCTATGTTCAAAGCTCTATGCTTGAAACTGAGGATACAAAGTTAAAAACAAAGCAGCTCTTGCCCTCACAGAGCCTATATTCTACTGTATACAACATGTACCACCATATGTAAAGACAAGGTAATGAGAATGGAGAAAGCCTAATAATTGGGGGTCGGGGGGAGACCAGAGCATTAATGGAAGGCTTCACGTAAGAGGTTATACCTTAGCTGAGCCTTGAAGTTTTCTGACGGGGAAAGTGAGAAGAGAGTGTATTCTAAGAGTGGAAAATGGCTTCTATGACTTCTGGAGTTGGGAGATGGTATGTGGGAGTTCAAGCAGCAGGCAGTAGTCCAGGCTGGCTTAGATATAGAGTAGGTGAAAGGGAGTAATGTGCAATGAGTTGAAAGTGTTGATAGGAACCATATTGTGGAGGGTCTTAAATGTCAGACAATGAAGTTTTTATTTTATATCATGGGATTCTTCTTATCTTTTCTCTGAACTGCTTGAAATTATCTCTCTTAAAATCTAGGATTTGTGTCAGACAATGCTCTGCCTTCTTCTTTATCATGTATTCTAAAATAGAATAGCCACTTTCCTCCCAAGGATCCCATCATTACTAATTCAGCAACCATTTCCTCCTTATTGATCCATATTGTGTCCACAGTAGCACTTCTCTGTCACTTCCTCCACCTTTTGAAGAACAGCCAATTTGTGTAAGGTTCTTTCCATTGAGCAAAGCCCTTGATCTCTTAAACATATATTCCTGATAATCAAACTTTTCAGATAAATGATCTCTGGATGGATAGACATTATTACGTAGACTACAAATTATTTTTTAAGTCAGCAATCCCGTCGATGAAATTGGACAGTTCTAATCCAAACTGTGCTTTTTTTTAGTCTGAAAAAAAAGAATTATCTGAAATCATATTGAGCCTCATGTGTAAGAAGTTGATGTTTTTTGGCTTAGATGATTGTTAGATACCTGTTATAGAATCAGAATTAGACCTGGAATAACTCACTCAATGAATAACTATTTGAGTAAAAAGATCACTGTACTATTTACAGTGGATTTCATATTTCATATTCCTATGGATTTCATATTTCAGAGTCCAACCCTACCTATCAATAAGTCAACAAACATTTAAGTGCCTTCTTTGTAGCAAACCTATCTCTTACTGTTCCCTCACAACCCAAAGAACCTCCATTTGAGTCAGCCTCACTACTCCTCCCAAAAAGTACTTATTATGTCCCCCTAGAGATGACATTTTTAAGGTAAGAATTATTTATCTAAACATCTCTGCCAAAACCATAATTATAACAAAATGATAAGTATCATTATTATAGCTAACATTTATATGATGATTTTAGATTTGCAAAGCACTTTACAAATATTATCTCATTCTCACAGCAACCTTATTGCTATTGTTACAGAAAATCAGCATACTTTTTACCTTCTGATACAGGTAAAGGAACCAATTTTAAGGTATTCTGGTACAGAGTTATGGTCTATATTGCTACTGTGGTCTTTAGTGCTTGAACAGTGGTTCTAGTTTTCTTCAGTCATTCTCATAGGCAGATGGGAGAAGATTAAAAATATGTTTATGGAACAGGGTATGGTTAACACCTTCCCCATGGGAAGGGCTTATTTTGGGTTTTGAGATGTGGATACGAGGCCAACCTTGGTGTCCTGTGAACGGCTGCAAATTCAGGCACTCATTCAGCTTACCACTAACCAGGGAGTATGAAAATGTGAGAGTCCTTTCCATTCTATCCCAGTCTTTAATATTATGTCTTCAATAATTTACAATTTTACTATTATTGCCAATAATGATGATAACAATAATACATTTGCTAGAACTTTAGACTTTATAGAAAGCTGTTCTATAATGGTGCTAAAACTCATGCTTAGAATTCACTTTCATTTAACCAAATCTTACTCCTCCTTCAAAGTCTAGCTCAATCCTATCTCCTTCACAAGATCCTACACGACTATTTTATCCCCCATCTCCAAACTCTTTTAGCACCCATAGTCAGCCTTAGATAATATACTACCTTGGATTATTACTTACTCACATTTGTACATCTTGTCATCTAGTTTGGACCATAAATACCTGGTGGGCAGAGATCATGCCTCAAACTTTTTTTGTGTAGGTGGAAGATAAAGGTATTTCAGGGTACTATTTATAAGACTTGGTTCCAGAAAGAGCCCTAGACAGCTTACCTATAATTCTTCTCTCTTCCCACCTCTCCAAACCCCACCCCTCCTTAAAGATCTCCCTCAAATCCAACTTTTCTATCCCTTACAATATCCAACAGGGGAGATGTTAGATGTTAGTTCTTTTTTTTTTTACTAAGTTCATGCATATTTATCCATTCAGTCAAGAGATTGAACAGCTACTGTGTATAAGGTATAGTCCCTGATTGAATGAATGAATGAATGAATCAACAAATGTCATTGAACTCATTCAAGAAATATTTCTTGAGCATTTCCAGTTGTGAGGTACTAAGGCAATAAATAAACAAATTAAGACATGATGCTATATGTGTTAACTATGAAAACTTACATGAGAGAAGGAGTGTTAAAGATATTATCTTTTATATGATCAAAAATAAGATGATCCAGTCATCTAAAAGTGAGAAACAATTGATAGACAGCCTAAATAATGTATTGGCACCTCAGAGATATTAAATTAACAAAAGCATGTGTTGTGTAGATTCTATACAAAGGATTTGTGGGAAAATATGGACAAGAATCACACAAGATCAGAACACACAGAGAGTTTGCAGCAGGATCCTGGAAGGAGAGCTTATCATTTACAGAGCTTTCAAACTACCAGAGTAATGGGATAATCTCTCTCAAACTGCTTTTCTAACAAAACATTAATGCATTTCTTAATCCACATTGCTTCTACTCTTCCTTAGTGAGGACATTTTCTATTTGCCATTTCCCCCCCATTTTTAAAGACTTATTTAAATGATCAGGCTTCTGACTAATATGTATGATTATACATCTCTGTCCAAGGACTTAGGTCTCAAAATATTATTTATTTCTTCATGATGATAATGCTACACCATAAAGGAAACTGGGACTATATACTGTACTTGGTCAGCTGCTTCAGGAAGTGAAAACATCTCTTATGCAAGACGCTGTGACCCAGAACATTGATTAGCTGCTAGTTTCTTCAAATTGATGTTCTTGGTGTCAACAAGTTGCATAGCTCTTAAGCTAAGTTCTTATTCAATATATATTTATCAGGGATATATATTTTTTGTTCCTTTCTAATTTGGGTTCAGCTGTTACTACTTCAGTAATTTTAATTTTGTTATGTTGAAGATGAAACCGATTTATATTGGAAAATAATAGAAAATCCAATACAGGAAAAGCAGAATAAATATTTTTATCCTAGCATGTTCTTTACCTTAGGCTTAATCAGAAATCTAAGGGAGATTAGATTATTGAAGAGCTCAAATAGGAAGAAGAGTTCTTTTTCTTGTTTAAAAGCAATTCACGATTAAAGAAAAAAATAAGACTATAGCTCAAGCTTAATTTTTTTTATTATATTAAAGTCTCAGTCTATACTGGAATAATGCATAAGTAGTATACATGGGTTAAAGGGTGTTGTGTTTCTTAGGTAGCTCTAACCACATAGCAGCTTAATAAATTTAAAAGGGTAATGAGTACATTTTTAATTAAGGAATCAAGTGTAATTATGGCTTCTTGTTCTGACCTGTGTGGGTCAGCAGTAATTGATGCCTGGGAGAGAATCAAAGACTGGTTAGTAGATGGAATGGGTCAGACCCCGACAACCCTTTCTGCTCTCACTGCTGGGGAACATTTAGATAAGATGCAGCAGCCCAGAACAGCCATATAACAGAGTCTTGCTCCCACATTTATAAATGTAAAGGTTAAATACTAGGCTTAGACTGGTTGTGATTTTTGTCCTGGTTGTGATTTGGGGGCTCACAAGACCAGTGGCTAATGAAAAGGGTACAGTTGGTGTTTGCTACCCATTCCCTAGTAAATCCAAGGGAAAGTCTTTCCTAAGAGCAACATTTATTCTTAGAATTTATGCATTTTAATTGCATTTCAGTTTTATAGCATTTCTCATAGGTTTACTGTTTCAGCCAGCATTTTAACTGTATTTTCTACTTAAATCCTTTCCCCAAAATCTCCATTATCCAAGAGAAAAAAAAAATCATCCAATGATAGCATAACCTCTCATCTGTCAGTAAACCCAACAACTCTGTTACCTAAGAATAAATATGGTAATTTTGATGAGCAACTCTGTATGGTTAGTGTCATGTTTTCTGCTCACCTGAGTATGAAAAATTTGGCATTAAATCTTATCTTCCATGTTTTTTGCTGTGTGTGTATAGTTTACTGCTGTTGTGTTATTAGAATCTAGGTATAAAAAATATTGACTAGGTCATTAATTTAAAAAAATACTGTTGGAATATTGACTTTTTTCTACAATAAACAGCAGTAACATTAAATGTTTGGTTGCCTGTTTTAGGAACTTTAAATTGTGAATAATGCAATTTATGAAAAGGGGCATTACTTTTTAGATAAAGTATCGTACATTTATGGGCACCATTTATTTCAGTGTGTCATATTAGGTCTATCTAAGCTAAACTTGTAAATGAACAATTCATTGCTTCTGATGTGTTTGTGTGTTTGTGTTTCTTTTCTTCCATTTTTTAAGTGAACTGCCTCATTCACCTCAGAACCTCCTTGCTAGCCTGAATTCTTCCCACAGCCGCACTGTGATGCTCTCCTGGGTTCGGCCCTTTGATGGAAACAGTCCTGTGCTTTATTACATTGTGGAGCTGTCTGAGAACAGTAAGTAGAGGAGAAAATTGCCATCTTGGAAAATGATCAGAATTCTTTTTGAACTTTTAAAATCCTTAACCTTTACCATAGTCTGTAGACCCAGGAACAAGGGACAAGCTATTACTCTCCTTGAAGGTTCCTAAATTAAAAGATAGCTGTTGCCTAAGGAAAGGTAAAAAGAGATCACAGTACCTGTAAAAGGAAACAGAGGAAATGGTAACAGAAAGGGACAAAAATCAGAGAATGGACAGGGTTCAGACTTAGTAGGATTGCCATCGATTCAGTTCTGTTTTTCCTAAACAAAAACTCCTGGCATGGATAAAAACCATGAAAGGAAGAAGAAAAAATAAATAACACTATGACCCTCAGGCATGTCTGTGGATAATGAGAGCTATTGAGGAGTTTTCCTGTACATATTCTGCTCCCCTTAATGCCAGAAGAATTAGCAAGGAGACAAAGAGAGCATTGCTAAAGGTTGCAACTATTCATTAAAATAACCCTCTTTTGGAGGTGTGGGGGAATTTTTGTGGATTTTACTTATCTGTGCAATTCATGACTACAATTACCATGGTTAAATTGAGAACTGACTATAACCTATTTGGAGAGTTTAGCTGATGAATAGCTAGTTGATGGTACTAAATAATAATAATTATAATAATGATGATGATGATCTTCTAGGCTTCATTGAACTATTAAAAACAATAATAAGTAACAAAGTTCATGTATATATAGCTCTTTGAAGCTTACAAAGTACTTTCCTTACAACGACCATAATAGATAGGGAATGCATGTATAATGATCCCCATTTTACTGTGACGGCTGTGGATGGAACCCAGAGTGGTCAGGTGGCTTGCCTAACGTCAAACAGCTAATGAGCATAAAACTCAAGACTCAGAACCAGGCCATCAAACTCTAAGCCCAATACTCTTCACATTATACCTATATATTCCCACTATACAATGCTTGATCTGGATGTTTTCAGGGATATAACCCTTTAAACAAAAATTCAGTGGCACTCTTACAAATAAATACATTTTTTTTTACACAAATGCTTGCTAATAATGGAACCAAATTGTTGGTATTGAGTCGTTTCAGTTATATCCACCTCTTCATGACCCTATTTGGGATTTTCTTGGCAAAGATATTGAAGTGGTTTGCCATTTCCTTTTCCAGTTCATTTTACAGAAGAGGAAACTGAGGCAAACAGGGTTAAGTGACTTTCGCAGAGTCACACAGCTAGTAAGTGTTTGAAGTCAGTTTTGAACTCAGGAAGTGTCTTCCTGACTACAGGCCCAGCATGTTATCTACTGTGCCACCTAACTGTTCTAGAACCAAATTACATATACCTATTTAAAAATCTTAGATCTTAAAATCAGTATTATTCCAAATCTAATAATATTACAAACAACTTACTTATCAAGCTGTATATAATTGTTTGCTGCTAAGAAGTTTTTCATAATTGAAAATAATGTAGGATAGCATAGTTTACCTTATAAGTTACATCACAACAATTTTCATTTTCCTTTTCTCTTTTACTTATATGTCAGTTATTTGGTAAGGCTGGAAAGGTAAGTCGGAAGCATATTATTGAAGATCTTACATTATGGAATTTCTAATTTTTACTTTATCCTGTAGTCAATAAAGAGCCACTGAAGCTTGTTGAATACAGAAGTGTCATGATTAACAGCAATGTTTTAGGAAGATTAATTGGGCAGCTGTGTAAAGGATGACTTAGACAGAGAAACACTGTAATACCAGTTAAGCTGGGACAGAGGTGAGAAGAAATGAGGGCTTAAACCAGCCTCCACTGAATGAAGAGGGTAGATATGAGAGATATTGCCAGGGGAGAATTAGCAGGACTCACAAACTGATTGGATATCATGGGATGAAAGACAATGAAGAGCAAAAAATGAATTCCATTCTTGGAATTAAGAGAGGCATGGAACATATGCTATCTGTGATACTAGTTTTGTGACATGGGCAAACCACTTAATCTCTATGAACCTCAGGTTCCTTGTTTGTAAAAGGAGTTAGATTGGTGTGGCGGTCCACTGAGACAATGTGCGTGAAACATAAAATGCTATGTAAACTTTTAAATTTTATACAGTGTCATCTACCATCATATCATCATCATCATCATCATTGTCATCATCACTGTGTCTCAGAAGTTATATACGTGTTTGGAAGGATAAAAGAGAGAAATTAGGAGAAAGAAAGATTTAGGGGAATTGCAAATATCCTGTAATCATGTTTCTTCCTTTAAGATGCAGCTCAAGGCCCATCTTATGCACAACTTGATCCCCCAACTACTATTGTCCTCCCCTTAAAACAATAGTTTTTAATTTTTTTGTGCCGTGGATCCCTTCACTGTGTGGCAATATAGTGAAGCCTACGAACCTTTTCTCAGAATAAAGCTTCTAAATGCATAAAACAAAATTCGGAGGATTACAAGGAAACTAATCATATTGAAGTAGAATCATCAAAATATTAAAAGCAAGTTAATGGATCCCAGGTTAAAAATGACTACTATAAGACAACCTTGTATTTAACATTTTTATATACATATTTGAATTTATTAACTTTATATTTATGCTATCTATATTTTCTATGTGTACTTGTCTTCCCCCATTTAATTGTTAGTTCATTGCAAGTGGGAATTGTTTCAGCCTCTATATTTGTGTACTCTGCACCGAACATGGTATGTGGCACATGGAGGGGGAAGGGAAGAGAGAGGAATAAGCATTTATATAACACAGTGCCAGAAGCTGTGCCCAGAACTTTAAGAATAGTATCTCATTTGAACCTAAACAACAACCCTAAGTGGTAGGTGGTGTTATCCCCATTTTATAGTTGAGAAAACAAGCAAAAAGAGGTTAAGTGACCTGTCCATGTCACAAAGCTAATGTTGGGAGGTTAGATTTGAACTCAGGTCTTCCCAGTACCTAACCACTGCACCACCTAGATGCCTTAATGGACATATGAGAGCCTTAATAGAATTGATTAATTGATACTTGAATTTCTTCTGCATTTGGAATTTGAAACATGAACTAGTTTTTTTGTATGAATGTAAACTTTGTATTATTGTAAAAAAAGTCATGGTCAGGGGTCATCTTTATTAGCACTTTTGCTTACTTATCTTTTTTAACTTTTTTATTCTTGAAGTTTAGTGTTTTTGCAATATCAAAAGTGTGAATTTTAGTCCTATCTTCACTGAACTGAGGCCAAGATGGACTGGAATACATCTTATAGGGTGTGGAGCACAAAGAGAAAAGCCAGGAAAGATTAAAGAAGAAAGGGAAGGAGAGAAGAAATATTTATTAAGTGCCTATTCTGTGCCAGGCGCTGTGCTAAGCACTTTATAAATAACAGCTGATTTGATCCTTGCAACAACCCTGAGAAGCAGGTGCTATTATTATCCCCATTTTAGAGTTAAGGAAACTGAAGCAGGCAATGGTTAAGTGACTTGCCCACGGCCACAGAGCTAGCAAGTGTCTGAGGCTGGAACGTTGAGTAATCGAGTTTCTTTGAGAATAGAGTGCGTGCACAAAGAGGAGTTGAGAGAAAACAAGTTGGAAATATTGAAAAGGAAGAGTGACTTTTTCACTTAAAAAAGTTAGTAAGAAAGCAGGAAAGAAAAGTTCATCAAGTTATTCTATCTAGTTATTAAATATTTGTTGACTATCATTGACTAGTCAATTCACCCTGGATGTTAATTTTCCTTTCTTAAGAATAATAAATGGTAATGCGACATAGGAAGTATGAAAGATTCAGGGCAGGGGTAATTCAATTTAATTCAACTCAATTCGACAAGGATTGTTGGGTTTTTTTTCCCACTTAGTAGTACTTTATTTTTCCAATTACATGTAAAGATAGTTTTCAACATTCATCTTTGTAAGATTTTGAGTTCCAATTTCTCTCTCTCTCTCTCTCTCTCTCTCTCTCTCTCTCTCTCTCTCTCTCTCTCTCTCTCTTTCTCTCTCTTTTCCCTCACCACTCCCCAAGACAGCAAGCAATCTTATATAGGCTATACATGTACAATCATATTAAACATATTTCCATATTAGTCATGTTGTGAAAGAATAATGAAAACAAAAGGGAAAAACCATAAGAAAGACAAAACAAAACAAAAAAAAGAGCGAGAGAAAAATAGTGTGCTTCGATCTGCATTCAGACTCCATAGTTCTTTCTCTGGATGTGGATAGCATTTGCCATCATGAGTCTTTTGGAATTGTCTTAGATCATTATATTACTGGGAAGAGCTACGTCTATCAAAGTTGGTCATAGCACAATGTTGCTATTACTGTGTACAATTTTCTCCTATTTCTACTCACTTTACTCAGCATCAGTTCATACAAGTCTTTCCAGGTTTTTCTGAAATCTGTCTGCTCATCATTTCTTATAGCACAATGGTATTTTATTACATTCATATGCCACAATTTGTTCAGCCATTCCCCAGTTGATGGACATCCCTTCAATTTCCAATTCTTTGCCACTACGAAAAGAGCTGCTATAAATATTTTAAACAGGTTGGTCCTTTCCCCCTTTTTATGATCTCGTTGGGATACAGACCTAGTAGTGTGTACAGTTTTATAGCCCGTTTGGAATAGTTCCAAATTGTTTGCCAGAATGGTTGGATCAGTTCACAACTCCACCAACAATGTATCAGTGTTCTAATTTTCCCACATCTTCTTCAACATTTATCATTTTCCTTTTTTGTCATAGAGTTGTTTTAATTTGCATTTCTCTTATCAATAGTGTTTTAGGGCATTTTTTTCATATAACTATAGATAGCTCAAATTTCTTCATCTGAAAACTGTCTGTTCATATCCTTTGACTGTTTATCAATTGTGGAGTGACTTTCAACGAGCATTTTTAAAGAACGTGTTATATGTGCCAGGCACAGTATTGGCTGTGGAACTGAGACAAATGAAAATGGCCCTTTCCATAAAGGAGCTTACATTCTGTTGGTTTAAATGGCATGTATAAATGAATGAAAAAAGCATTTATTA